ATGTTGTCTTTCAAAAACGATAAAAGATGTTCAATCAAATTACGTTAACAACAAAAGAGTATATGCCACTATTATAACGGTGGACACAAAAATACAAGCAGCAATCAGAATATCTTTATAGTTACTCGGTAAAACATGGTGATATCAAGTTTGTTTGTGTTTGCTTTGTTTCTGTTCTTATCTGAAAAGCAAGGAACTCAAAGTTGTAGCAATACTTAAACAAATATTTGAAAATTGTACAATCTGACTAGCTGACTCACGGGATCTGATCATGCGTAAATCACTATACAAACCACAACTGCACAAATTTGTGAAAAAATAAATAAAAATAAAAGAAGAAAAACAAATTTATCAAGCCTTGTATATGTCAAAAAAATTCGGCAAAGCGCGACTCCCTCGGCGAAACAGCTACCTTCAGTCACGTTTGAAAAGTGTAAATTATTCTAAGTTTGCGCTGCTGGATTKGTCAGTTTTAATTATCTATTGATATAAATTGGCTACATGACACCGACAGTAAAGTTGCATAATTTTTGGCTAGGTACAATCAAAATGGCGGACGTCTCAAGAAATATAGCTATTACACAGGTTCACCGAATCTCTCTTAATTCGAGAGCATTTTGCATTTCGTCTGCTTCATCTCCGTCGCCAGGATTCTTGTTGGGTGCTCTGTTTCGCTTCCATGGCCATAACACTTTCTGTTGAAGTTTAGTAAAATTGAATTATATACATATAATTGTATCGTCATACAATTGGCGTCACACAACGGTATAATCACAGTTTTAATATTGCGTTCATCGAAAGATCTACGGCACCAGAAACAAAACGGCAAAGAAACAAACAGAAAAACGTGTATGAAAACAGCAGAGGAATTTTTAGGTTAACAATAACACTACAAACCTGGAATTTGTTTCGTACTCCTTGCATCATTTGTTGGTATAATTTCTTTGCTTGTGGCGTAGCAAACGTATATAAGACAGGATTGATGGAGGAATTTACTGGTAGAACAAATACAGCAATCACAGCATACACTTGTCCTGTTGGGTCGTTAAACTTTCCAGTAAGCGATAGAATACCAAGCACGATGACTGGCATCCAGCAGCAAAAGTCTGTCAGGACAATGAACAAAATTCTTGTCCCCAGTGACGATGGTTCTCTCGATGACTGGACTCTTTTGGCGGAGCGCTGGACTTTAATGAATATTGCTACATAAGCAACAAGGATAAATAAAAAGGCTGCACCGTTGAAGGCCATGAACATGGCGACGGAGTACTCCCATCCTGCAGGTCGTTCTGAGGAAAGCTGAAAAGGAATGCAAACAGTCGACCGTCCGTAGAACGAGAAACCGGTGGCTTSATCTTTAAAG